CCAACGGGCACATTAGATATTTCCCTTGAGATTTTTGGTACTGCGTGAATAGTCTGCGGGAGTAATTTCAAACTACTTGTAAATAAAAAGTAAAATCCCGGGTAGAGGGAAATTTGCTACATTTAAATTGGAAAGCAGAGTAGCGGACAGCAGGTCGGACTCTTTTGTAGTTTCTAGGTGCTGTAGGGCGCGCTAGAGCGTCGGGTAGTTCTGTAGGGACTGGGCCGTCCAGCACGTGACTAAGGTCACGAGCTGTAGACAGGCACGACGTTAAATTTAATCAAATCAAATCAAAGTAGTGCTCTCTATGTTATGGGAATGCCGGTGCGTCGGGTAGCCCTTCATAGGCCGAGCTAACCGGCATGGGGCTTTAAATCACTGTGCTGTGCGCAGGCACGACGTTAATATAAATAAATAAATGGTAGTGCTCTCTATTTGTGTGCCTCGACAACCAGGAGGCTGCCCTTCGGCTTCTTGTATGCAACCCCACCTGTGGGTAAAACACGAAGTAATACAAATTGGGTACCGTCACGAAGTCAGCTGTCCGTCACGAAGTCGGTGAATTATGTCAATTAACTGGTATCTCGATATACATAAAACGTTGTCTCTCCTTTCCCTTATCACCCTCTGCCCTTTCTTCCTCTACTCCAAGCGCCTCGCTAATGAGCTAAGTCAGATCCCTATCAGTGTCCTAACAACAACCTGAATACCGCAAATACATAGAACAATTCACACTACCCAAATGTGATCCTTTTACCGACACCACCCCCTCTAGTTCTACTCGTATCACTCAGTTTAGAGGGCTTGCGACAGCATGGACTAGAAGAGACCGTTGTCACTTCACAGAAGTCGGCTCAGTCATCATAAGATGGAGCCCTGCACACGTTGGTATTTTGGGAAACGAAGCTGCAGACGTTCACGTCAAACAGGTCTGCACACTCCTAGCTTCCTCACTTGCACCGTCAATCTCTAGAGCAAAGAGAGATATCAAAATTAGATGCCAAGACTCAGCGACCAGATATTGGACGCAAAACGCCCCCGAAAGATACAAACAACTTGGAATTAGAGAAAATGTTGGAGACTCACTGGAACTTAGGAGTCTCGACCGGCGAACACTGGGCCTGCTTCTTGCTGCACGGTCAGGGCATGGGGACTTTGCAGACTACCACCGCCGTTTCCAACACCTCGAAGCTCACTTTACCTGCAGCTGCGGATGAGAAAAGTCACATGACCACTTCTTCTTTTGTCGCCTGGGCGCAGCCGATCACGACTACAAGGTGGACCTCGACATCCCAGCCCCGGAATCCCCTGGGTTCTAAGCTCTTCAGAAGGGGCTATCTCCTTCAGCAAGTGGGTCCACAAGACTTAGTTTTTTTGAAGAGACCAATTTTCACTCCTAGCTTTTACACTTTCTCCATACTAACTATTTAGCGGGACTCAAACAGGTACTAGTAGATCTGTCTGTACCGGTGGTAGATTATTTCTCCTCTCTAGCATGTAGATTTACATTTTAGTTCTGTCTGCAGTATAGTTATCAGAAGACCCAGGGGAAGGGTTCTTTTGGTGTATTTTTAGTTTGGGGCAACTGGCAGGAGGGCCAGGGCCTAGGTAGTTTATGCCGGGATCTTACGAGCGTCGGCACGTCGGGTAGTTTTTCTAGACTGAGCTAACCGGCATGTGGCCTTGGGAAACATGCTGCACGCTGGCACGACGTAAAATATGAACAAACATGTATCAGTCTACGCTTTGTTCCAGATCAGATCAATCGTAACCGGATGTTGATGTGATGTGTTTATGATAATACTTGAGTCATTGAATACCTAGAATATTGGGCTCCTCTCTTACCCAGGCCACGCCTTGTACAGTTCTCCTTGCCTCTCATGTTTCTTGGCAGATCATTGATATATTGCCCTTGATGAATAGCCATTCAGCTTAGTATTTACCCGCGGAATTCATCCAACTTTTCCACGGAACCTTCGACCCAAAAAAAATGGTATCAATGGAAACTGCGTGCGCGGGAAAAAGCCTCAAAAAACCTGCAGCCCCAGCCAGGCGAGGCCTAGACACCGGGACCACATGAGGTGCGCATATTCATCTATATCTCCCTTCTTTGTAACAGTCGAGGCCGGCTTGATCCAATCCACCATCTCCGTATCGGGTGCTAGGTACGCTCCGGAAACTCATCGGATGGCTACCTCCATAATCAAGGGTTGGTGACGAGTAGGGCTCCAACCCTACCATCTGATCTTATCGTGGTTAGCTTCATGATAATGGTGATAGGGTGATGTGTTGAGAGATGAAGACGATACAGACCACGAAAGTGATTGGGAATCCTCATCGAAGTGAAGACTATCATAACTGGAATAACTTAGTAATTGGTAGCAAGACTGGGAATTACTCAGAGTGGAACATGCGAGAAGCTGATATCAGCCAATAACGAATATTCTGGATATTTTAATAAATTTATAAATAGTTGAAGTAATACTTCGATAGTTAGCTACAGAGAAAATTATAAACTACCATTGTGTATCTGATCGCTCCAGTATCAATACTCAAGCCGTGTCACATTTGAAGCAAACTTGAGTCGTCAGCTCCTGCCCCCTTCAGAATTATATCTGTGGCTCTTCGTTAACCTACAGGAAGTACAATTAGCCATTGGTTCGAGACGGAACTATCTACAGTAAACCTTGACATCCTTTTCCTAATCTTGCGCACCGAATTGTAATTTCTGTGGTCTGAAGCTCGATCCCGATGGTGTTATTAGTAGAGGTAGTGGGTACGTGGCCACGGGCCGTTTTCACAAGCGTTCTAGTCCTCTCTTGACTCCCTCTGCCCTTTGGTAAGATACCGGTGTGAACCCTTGGTTATCTATATTTTTTGCCGTTGGTGATGATCCCTCACATCTTAAATCTGCTGTTCTTTCTATTGATTCATACCGTGAGCTCTAGAAACCGGCCTCGTATGATGAGAAGTTTGGAAACACGCCCTTCTGCTACGACCTATGGGCATTGCCATATTTTCAATAAAGCACCAAGATTTCTTCAGGCAATCTCCAGTCTAGTGAGTGCCCCAGTTGGTCCAAGTAGAAGCACTACTTGATTTGCGCTCAGGATAATCAGATCTAGGTCATGTACATCATTGAATTGAGTACAATAGCATTTCTAATCACTTCGCGCTGAAGAGCCTCGTTCAGCAGGCTCGCTATAACTGACCCTTGATTATGGTCGTCCTTCTCATCCATTAGAGCTCCTTTGTTAGACACTGAGGGTCAATTGAAAAATATAAAGTAAAGTTGTATTGATGAAATCTCTGCTGCTCAACTCCTCTCCAGCAGTGATGCTATATACCCATCAGAAACTATCTCGAGGAGAGATTATTTTCTCCTCGTTTCCCAAAACTACATATGAAGTATATTACATGTGTTGAAGATCAAAAGATCTCAAGTTGGAGCTTTGACTGTCCTGACCATCCTGATCATCCTGATCACCATATCCCTGGTGAGATATCAAAGCTCGAGTAAGTTAATCCGAGATGTGTCATCCCAATATCCAATGATTCTCATTACCTTATTCAGTAGGTTCTAAGCTATCAGATGTTTGACATCCTTTCTTTCACAAAGCCATTTTATCCTATTGATATGAATTCTGGGAATCCGAACCTTTATTTCCGGAGTAATTTGGTAAATCATTCTACCGTTATCGGCATATTTTACCATTTTTATCATAGCCCCAAAAGGACTCCCAAAGTTTGAATAGGATAATCCTGATTTAAGACACAAAACCCCTTTAGCTTCGCCATCCTAAAGATAGCGTCTCGCTGGAAGATTGGATGCACGAGCACCACCATGTTCTTACTGCTTAGCTGCCTTACAGCGTACACCACCTTGATATACATTATTGCCTTCTTGAGTTGCTCTGCCAACTTCATCTTGTTTACTCCTTGTACTCTGATTATTACTGCAGTTTTAGTTGCTGGTGTCGCAACGGCCGAGGTGTAAGTTGGTCGAGCTCCCATTCTATGTGTTGACTGGGGCGCAGTCTTGCGCATCGGACTCTTGAGGCTCTTCTTTGCTAGCTTTTCTAAGACTAACATCCATTCTTCCGTTGGTATCACTTTCAATGTCGATTGTAGTAAAAATACGTGCGATTTGAAAGGGTTAATGGTCCCGGCTACCTCCACCATTGGTGCCGCGGCTGATTAAGTACCCGCAATCGCCAGTCTGTCGCGAAAATTGTCTAGGTAAAGCCCTTTTCCCTTTAGGTAATCCATGTACGTGACTATGGAGTTCGCAAGAGATCTTACTGCTATAAGTGTAGCCATTACACTGTCCGCTATCCGATGGTGGTTTGAGTAGTGCCGTAAAAATCCTTTCAGCCTTGAAATTGACTTATCCAGCTCCCCAGTCCGCCATGCCGAAGCACAAGGAAAAAAAAACAGGGAATAAGATAAGATTGATCAATTAAAATGATAGCAGTTAGCAAAATAATGAAATTATGTTCGTGGAACGTTTTGACACCTTTGATCAAATGATTATAATGTCATTATTATATTAATCATAATCAGTTATCTAGCCATAGAGCATGATAAGTTTCTTGCATACGTGTACAATGATTTTTAGCTTACGACGCATATACACTTAACCTCTTACATAAATAATGGAGTTATTTTTTTGTACGACATAGTCAGCCTTCTTTCGTGAATGGATGTTGGACTGACTTCTAATTTTGTTTGATTTAATTCCTCATGAAATTAATAGAAAGGTAATAATTGGTGATTTCCCAAATAATCCGGGCTTTTTGTTCCAAGCGAAACTTTAAAGCATGGAAGTCATTTATTTGACTATATATATGAAATTAGCGTATACTATTGAAATGTATTTTATTTCTGATACAAACCTCACTGAATATTGTGAATCAAATTTGATTTTACTTTTTGGTTTGAATAAGTTTCCTGTACGAAATTATGACTGAGAAGCTCGTTTTTTCCGAATACATGAATCTTTATCGCCTTAAGCTATCTAGCCTAGCCTGGAGATCATCATCACCAAAGTCGGTATTACCTGCTCCCTCGCCAACTGCCTGAGCTATTTTGGTTTCCGGAACGGAAACTGACCCTATTCCCAGGGGTGTTTGACCCATCTATGACTTGTATTAGTACAGCGCGTAGAAATTTGGATGTTGGGCGACTTGACCGATTCCTTGAGATCAACTCCAATTTCTTCCAGTATCTGCTCTACAATCTCTTCTCCATCTTCCTCATCTTCTAGACCCGTAGCATCGTCTATCGCATCATCCATCATTTCTTGCCTTTGATCCATAATGTCATTTTCTTTCTCAAACTCCATTGCAATCCTTTGTAAAGCTGGAAGATTCATGCTGCGATTCATACTCCCAAGGATCCCTGTAGCACCTTTCATGGCTTGCATCATCTGCTCATTAGTACGAACTGTCTACATATTGTTAGACAAGCTATCCATTACATGAGCCCCATACCTGTATACGCAAGCTGATAGCTTGTAGTTGAGTCTTCATAGCATGAAACCTCTCGATGTATCTTCGCGTGCGCACTAGGTCCTTAGCCTGAATTTTGCAGGCCATCATTTGACCATTCTTAGCACTCTTTTTGATGTCTTGTATCAGTTTCTTCTCTTGATTCTCAAGTTTGACCCGTTCACGATCAAGTTCTCGCTGAGCTTTTTCGAGAGAGCGTTGATGCTTCCGAAGACGCTCAGCTGGTGTTGTCCGCTTACCAAATGCCCACTCAATTACCTAAATTTTATTAGCGTGCAAAGATTTAATGTGAGACTGATAGATCAGACATTCATATCCACAGCTTGTGTTTGTAATATTTTATTTCAGCACACCAGAGAATTGCTGCTTTGGTTTACGACTACTGTGTTCAAGGAGTTCCAAGATAAGGCCAGCGTATAATAAGCGTAAAATGCCGTCAGGGATTCCAGTTACTAGACGACAGAATCAAAAAATAAAATCTCAAGGGTTCTAATGTTTACATTCGACAAGATCCAGCTATGTCTGTTTAATTGTGTGCATGGACGAAGGTTCAAAGGTGAAGCATGCGTATGTAATTTGTCGAGCTCAAACGGGAGGGGTTCTCTTGCCCCGCCTAGGCTTGGCTCAAATGTATGTTGCTAGGGATCTGACCAACTTGAGACAGGTTATCGCTTTTCGCGCCCAGCTTGACCAGTATAGATCACTCGCAATCATCGTCGGCAAGACAAATAATATTTCTTTGGATAGCTTAAGGCGCTGAAACCTAACTGTGGTAGCAGCCCTAGACTAAAACTGATTGCCTTGTAAGTTAAACCCATTATACTTGTCTGGCTGTAAGTTATCGTGCTAATCAACTGGCGCTCAGTAATATTCCCGCATATGAACTCGCAACACACGACGCGTCAAGACGTCGAAATGGTCCTTAACGTACTATAAAGCCCACCACAACAGCAGATTCAATTTGCTGCGCGAGCCATCAGCGCTAGGTAAACCCGAGCCTAAACCTCACGGGCGCTAATTTGTCAGACCTTTTCGGCGAACAGACAAGGGCGTTTCAGAAAAGTTTTGCGGAAGAAGAGCGCATCTTTAGCGGGTATTGCAATGTACATGAATCAACAACAGACAATGAGCATCGACAAGCCGTCGAACTCACCGGTATGGCCCTTCCAACCCGCATTATTGAAGTCTTATAGGGCCAACCAAGTAACCAGCAAGCCACTGCACCAGCCCAAGCTGCCAATGTCAATACTGTCAAACTAAGTCCCGTGCCAGCTATAGAGCTGAGGAGAAAGACTATCGCGGGCGCCTTACGTCATGTGTAGATCCTCGCCAGGGGGAACACGAGATCCGCAGCAGCCACGCCATCGGCTGCTATTGCAATACCAAAACCCACAGAAGACAGACATAACCACCGAAAAGGCTCCTGGAAGATCCTGGAGTAAGGTGGTTCTAGAATGAACTGAGCCGGCTACCTGAATGGCTACAACAATAACTTGTACCAACACGCCAACATTGAAGCTCATGGCTTCAGTAGCGAGGCCCGAAAGACTTGACGAGCACGGAATCCTACGGCTTAGACCAGATCACCCGTGGAGACGCATGTCTTCACACTCCATAAAAATAAGCTTGTCCAGCGAACTATGCCTGGCTCAGTTCTCGATATGGCAAGTCACAGCTTTGAAGTCTCGGTACGCTGTACAAGCTACAGTGTCTTATGAATGGAAATTGTACAATTGTCAAAATGACTGGGGTTTGATCCCTGTACATAATGAATTGATTGGGTTGGTCTTCATGCAGGCCCATATCTAGTTCGTCGACTAGTCAAGGATGCAAGGGGTACCATCCAATGATAATCCGGGAAAGTCTAAATTATGGGGATGGTTTTCAACTCTATAGGAATTGTACAATGGTCCTCATTTAAAATCAAAAATTAAAAAAATCAATTGATATTATCTAAAAATACACATCTATTTCAAAAATAATTGCTCTGTGTTACAAAAGTCTACATAGAAGCCCTCAGTATAGCTCGCAACTAAAATGAAAGCGTACTGTATGTTTTGTATTAGTCTGCTCCATCCTAACATTTTGTATACCCTCCATTTTCCTTTATCACCGCTATATATCTTTCGTGCATGTTAACCACACCTAACGGAGGCTTCTTCCGAGCAATGCATCTGCTGTAACCCATTTTTTTGAGGGCATTTGAAAGTTAATGCTCATTTCATCCCTGGTGGCTGAAGGGTCCCATTGCTAGTTCCAAATAGCACATCTGTCGATTTTTAGGAGATTCTGTTGTATTTAGATAGTTATGTATATAAAAAGGTCTTACTTCTACTAAGTCTACTGAGCAGTAGAGATATACAAAAGTCCGTACATGATGAGTATCGCGTGGTTATCTTGGCAAAAATTGCCAATCACAACACTCCCCTTATCTCTGATGATCAGCTTCCACAATCTCGACTACTCCAATAGCAGTTCTCTTTAGCTTAAAAATTGGTCCAGGTAAAGGTTTCGTTAATCCATCAGCCAACATCTGATCACCCTTTATCTATCTACTTTCCAGTTTACCTTTATTTATTTCCTCGACTATGTGGTGGTATGCCATATCCACATGTTTTATTTTTGATGTATTTGCGACCCCACCTTGAAGTTGTATACAAACTTTATTATCTCCCAACAGGAATGGAATTGAATTTCCCGGGTTTCCTGTGATATGAGATATTAATTTGTCTCCCCAAATTGCGAGTTTCGCTCCCTCAATTGCTGCTATGTATTCTGCATTTGTAGTAAATGTTGCGACGCTAGTCTGTTTCTTACTGATTGCAGCCACTGCTCCTCCATTGAGCATCATGATGATCCCTGTGATAGATTTTCGATCACCAGGGTCTTCAGCGTAATCTGAATCGGCAAATGTGATTAGATCAGTAGATCTTGAACTCTCACAGTAAACTTCTATGTAACTATCAACCTTATAATAAGAAGTTTCAACATCCCCACATCCATATCTAACCCCATAGTCAATTGTACCTTCAATATAGCTTAAGATTCGGAGAAGTGATATCCAATGGTTGTGACATGCCTTATGGGAGTATTGTGCCATTTTATGAGTCTCGAATATTATATCCGGTCTTATATTACACAAATACATCAGCTTTCCGAAGAGACTCCAGTAACTTGTCAACTCTTCATTATTTTTGGAAATCTAGACTCATCATGTATGAAGGCTTAGATTTCTAGGTATGATCATCAAGATCAATTGAGTTGATTCGATTGAATATGATTAAGTTCAGTTGGACGAAATAAGATTCAGTGGCACCTAGAATGCAGTGGCTAGGAAATGCTACCTTGCGATAATTGAGTGGCTGGTTGTCGCTAGATCACTGGGAGTTCGGGATCTGTATTTAAGGATAGACTCATCTGTAAATGTAAAAATAGGTTAACGGAGTATTATATATTATTAATTCATATTGAGAAGAGATTTCGATATCACATACAACTATTAATAAATTCTTGTCCGAAATTGTGCACTTGTTCTTCGAGATATTTCCTCCCAGAAATCCTTGACAATTTCTAACAATTAGTACAATATCTCCCTGGTGTCCGCTCTGGTTCACTAACGCCATCAGTAGCCATTGGGGTAGAATATATGTTTGTCCCAGACATAGAAAAATCACTTATGATACTTCTGACGTATTGAGATTGGTCAATAGTTCAATAATCATCTTTTTGCGTAATTCGAACTCCAAGAACATTTCTGGCAATCCCATGGTCCTTCATTTTGAAACTTATATTTAGGGTTTCTTTGAGATTTGCAATCTCCTGATTAATTGGGCCAGTAATAATCAGGTCATCAACATGTATACCAATAACTACTTTGGTTTTATCATTCCTAAAGATAGTCTGGTCCATTGGGAGACAAGTGAAACCAATTAAAACTATGAATTCAGAGAGCAGTAAGTACCTTACCCGTGCAGCTTGTTTGAGTCCGTACAAGCTTTTTAAGACTCGAGCATATTGGCCAAACCTCTCACCCATGTGCTTCAGCATTATAATGTAAACTTCTTCATTAAGCTCTTGTGCTATGAATGCGGTTACCACATCCATTTGGTAGATATCCCACTTCTCTCTAGTTGCAATAGCTAAAATAATTCTAAAAGCATGAAGATGAATTGTAGGTGCAAATGTTTCTTCAAAGTCGTCACCATACTTTTGAGTGAAACCCTAGCAACTAGTCGAGCCTTAACTCGTAAGATCTCATTATTCTCCCCTCTTTTCGGGTCCAAGACAATTTTTGCTGTGACTGCTGATTTGTTGGGTGGTATTTTGTCTAGAGGGCCTAAAAAGGTTCCATGTGCAATGAGGGACTGCATTTCTGACTCGTATGCTTCTAACCATATATCTGCTTCCGGAGTATTTAATGTTTCTACTAAAGTTTTGAGAATGTCAATACCATCATTTTGGGCAGCTAAGAGCGCTAGCTCGACTGCTATATTAGTTGTGTTATCTATGCAACCTACCATGGTACATGCTTTAGGTCCATCATAACATATACACGTGACTGTAGAACTAAACCGCGGGGTTTTTGTTTTGTTCATTAACGTGCTAGGTTACATGACTATCGTTGCACTCCTATTGGAGCTTAAGCACGTGTGGGTCGGGCCAGATCAGGTTAACTACCGTGAAGTACAGATAAACCTCGTCCCACTTTCTGATCGGACCACCTCAGACTTCACCTATGTGTTGAATCATACCAAGTCTTACCGTCCAGAAACCCGCTGTATATACGCCGTTGCGCAAATTCCTCCTCAGCCTCGGCCACCACGCGCCTGAGCCCTTGACATCTTCATTGGCTCCGAAATTTAAATGCCGTCCAAGATCTCATCGTTGCTCTATCATTGCACCTTCATATCGTACCGTTGGGTTGTTTTCGACAATGGGGATATGTGTAATCCCCTCGGTGTATCTTCTCTTTTCTTCATCCTTTGTACACGTCCCGTTTCCATCATGACTTTCCTAATTAGGGCGTGTGTAGATAGGTAATGTGACGAGAATAGAGGTGGGTCGCAGGTATAGGATCAACTGAGAAATGC